CACCCCCACATGCCTATTCACTCGGTCTATGCCCAGTCTTGCGTCTTACCTCTCCCAGGACCCTGGCTAGTTGGCCAAACCCTTTGTTCCATGTATTAAATAAACGATTTAAATTACACAGGAACTGTGGCCACTCTGTGTATTCTAGCCTTGGGCACTTCTGTCTTGCACACCAAGGGGTTAACTAGGTGTGCTTCTCCAAGCTCTCCCCTGGGGAAGACGCTCCCTCACCTTCTCTTGGTGGACACAGAACAGACGCTAGCTTGTACCTGCATATGAAGCCAAGCTGCTTGTGAATCCAGCTCAGACTTCCCCCTTCCCTATCAGATAATCTCAGGGGACCCTCCACTCTGCCTGTAGCTCCAGGTGTGAACCGAGAAGAAGCTGAAGCAGCAGTGGTGGCTGGCTGGGTCTGTACCTGCTCATGTCACCGACTCTTCCTTCCTCTTCTGCCTGGCCTGGGCTCTGCATGTTCCAACTCCATCTTACCTGGTTGCTGCTGGTATGACTTGCATTTTAAAAGGTTTCTCATTTTTGTGAATGTAACTATAGAGTAGCAGCCAGACAAAAGGAGTGGAAGAGACAGCACACTCCCCAGGAAGGGGATATGGGCAAAGGCTGTGTTGAGATGAACAGGAGGCCATGGAAGGGTTTCAGGCAAGCGTGTCAGAGGATCATATTGTGTGTGCACATGCGTGCATGTGTGTCCCCATAAGTACCTACAAATAAATCTGTTCAAGGAGGAGAATGGTTTAGAAGGAAAGCAAAATGAATGCAGAGAAATCAGAGGGGACTATTGCTATAGTCAGGGGAGAGGAGGGTGGTTTGGAATGACAGAGTAGCCATGGAAATAAAGAGAGGCAGAGGCAGACTGAGGACCTGTCTCCAGGGGGCGCTGACAGGATTGCCTGCCTGAAGGGGAGTGCACACAAAGAGCGCAGACCCATTTCTGGCGTTAGCAAGCTGGAGCTGGCTGCACTTACAAGGACATCTATTTAGGACACATTAAATGTGAGGGGCCTTTGAGACGTCCAAGAGGCAACAAAGAGCAAGAAGTGGGTTTGCAGAGTTGAAGCTTGAACAAGAGCATCTCCCCTTGCCTTGGAGTAAGGAGGTCACTGGCCAGGGAACACATGAGACAATGGGAAAGAAGGACCCATGGCCCCCTTGGGAATTTCTCCCATAGAGGAAGGATGGAGGGGCAGGAGTTGGCAAAGGGGGTGAAAAGGAGGGACCCTTGAAAGACAGAGGGAGATATTAATACCCAGGGTGATCCTTCACAACACAAGGTAAGTTCATGTTACTCTTCTGCTCTGCATTTGCTTGGCTGAAAAGCCTAAGTCCTGACAATGTGCTCAAGTCTCCATATCACTACCCCTCCCCGAGCCTGTTCCAGGCACATGGCCCCACTGCTGTTCCAGAGAGGGGCTAGGCCCAGCACCCCACTCCATCCCCATGACTGTGTTCTAGTGCCTCTCCTGAAATGCATGTCCTCCAGATACCTGCACTGCTCCCACTGTCACCCCCTTCATTTCCTCGGTGGGGCCTTCCCCAACCTAGGCCAGCTGCCACCTGCTCCTGCCCCCTCTCTATCAACCATAAGCATCCTGCTCAGCTTCAACTTCCCCTTATCCCTCATCAATCATATGCTCTAATTCCCTTTCTACTTTTTTTTGAGACAGAGCCTCAGGCTGTCACCCTGGGTAGAGTACAGTGGCATCACAGCTCACAGCAACCTCCAACTCCTGGGCTTAAGCAATTCTCCTGCCTCCGCCTCCCAAGTAGCTGGGACTACAGGCGCCCGCCACAACGCCCAGCTATTTTTTGCAGCCATCATTGTTGTTTGGCGGGCCCTGGCTGGATTTGAACCTGCCAGCTCAGGTGTATGTCACTGGCGCCTTAGCCATTTGAGCCACAGGCGCTGAACCCCTTTCTACATTTTTTATTTTATTTTTCTGTCTCCCTTGGCCAGAACAGGATCTTTCCAAAGACAGGGATGTTTGTCTATTTTTTTTTTTACTGATATATCCCAAATGCCTGGAACACATGGCACAAAGGAGATAGATGCTCCATAAATATTTGTGGTATTAATGAGAAAATCTATTCTTTAATCTGTTCTTTAAAGCTGTCCCCTGTCCTGGGCCATGGACTGGTACCAACCAGTCTGTGGCCTGTTAGTAAGCAGGCTGCATAGCAGGAGGTGAGTGGCAGGCAAGGGAGCCAAGCTTCATCTGTATTTGCAGCTGCTCCCTATACCTTACATCACCATCGGGGTTCCACCCTGTCAGATCAGGAGAAGCGTTAGATTCTCACAGGAACATGAACCCTACTGTAAACTGCATGTGCAAGGAGTCTAGGTTGTGTGCTTCTTAGACAATCTAATGCCTGATCACCTTAGGTGGAGATATAATGAATGCACTTGAATCATCTTGAAACCAGGTCCTCGCCTCAGCATCTGCAGTTCAGTGGTTAGGGCACCAGCCACATACACTGAGGCTTGTGGGTTTGAACCTGACCTGGGCCTGCTAAACAATGACAACTGCAACAAAAAAATAGCTGGCATTGTGGCAGGTGCCTATAGTCCCAGCTACTTGGGAGGCTGAGGCAAGAGAATCACTTAAGCCCAAGAGTTTCAGGTTGCTGTGAGCTGTGACATCACAGCATTCTACTGAGGGTAACACAGTGAGACTCTGTCACAAAAAAAGAAAAAAGAAAAAAAGAAACTGTGTCCTCCATCATCCCCCTCCCTTTTCAGGGAAAAATTGTCTTCCTTGAAACTGGTCCCTGGTACCAAGAAGGTTGGGGACTGCTGCTTTAAAGGGAGAGACCCATGTAACCAAAGCAAGAATGACCTCAGGCATTAGTCAGAGGCCATTGAAGAATCATTACGGTCTTAACCTGGCCCTAGGACAACAGTCTCCATACTGAGGAGAAGATATTGTACTTACAGGGAGAAGTTATTATACACACGGGGAGAGAATATTGTACCTTGACTCTCTAGTGCTTTATAGCTTAATGAAGGTGCTCTGCTCTACCATTAATGGAAATTAAGTTTTTCCATGACTATGTCTTATTTAGCCTCACTTTCAGGCTGCCACGTCTCTGAATGTCACTGGGGTAGATGTCTCATGATTTTTTTTTTTTTTTAAGACAAAGTCTTAGTTGCCCTCTGGTTGAGTGTTGTGGTGTCATTGCTCACAGCAACCTCAAACTCTTGGGCTCGAACAATCCTCTTGCCTCAGCCACCCATGTAGCTGGGACTACAGATGCCCAGCACAACACACAGCTAGTTTTATCTATTTTTAGTAGCGACTGGGTCTCACTGTTGCTCAGGCTGGTCTCCAACTCCTGAGCTCAAGCAATTCACCCACCTCAGCCTCCCAGACTGCTAGGATTACAGGTGTGAGCCACCTCACCCGATAGTTTCTCATGATTCTTACAACTTCTCAACCTTTGCCCTGTTTTCTGTTTCTCTTCAAGATGCCTTCTTTTTAAAAATTGAGATATAATTGACACACACAAAGTTCACAATTCAGTTATTTTTAGAACATTCACACGTTGTACAACATCACCACCAATTCCAGAACATTTTCGTCATCCCAAAAAGGGATTCCAGCTCTATCAGCAGTCCCCTCTCCCCTCAGCCCTGGCCACCAGTAATCTACTTTCTAGCTTCATGGATTTGCCCCTTCTGGGTGTTTGGTATAGATGGAATCACACAGTATGTGGCCTTTTGTGTCCGGCCTCTTTCATCTAGATAATGTTCTCGAGGTTTGTTCAGGTTACAACACGTAACAGTACTTCATTTCTTCATATGGCTGAATAAACTGTCCTTATATAGATATTTTATTTATTGCATTTTATCAGCTGATGGAAATTGGGGTTGTTTTCCACTTTTCAGAAATTCTGAATAATGCTATGAATATTTATGGACAAGTTTTGTGTGAACATATTTTCAAATCTCTTGGGTATATACCTAAGAGTGTGGCAATTCTATATTTAACTTCTATGTTAACTAGGTTTAACTTTTTGAGGCATTGCCAAACTGTTTTCCACAGTATCTACACCATTTCATGTGCCTCCACGATGAAAGAGTCTTACCGATATTTAACTACCTATCATTTTGATCCTAACTGTCCCAGTGTGTGTGAAATGGAGTCTCATTGTGATCTGCATTTCCTTAGTAACCAATGAGTCTGAGCATCTTTTCATGTGCTTATTGGCCACTTCTATAACATTTTTGGAGAAATGTCTATTTAATTCCTTTGTTCACTTAAAAAATTATTAATTCATAGTATTTGTACATATTTGTGGAGAACATGTAATATTTTCTTACATGCATAGAATGAATAATGATCAAGTCAGGGTATTTAGGGCAAAAACGAAACTACCGTATGATCCAGCAATCTCTTTGTCCATGTTTAAATTGAGTTATTTATCCTTTTATTATTGAGTTATAAAAATTCTTTGTGTATCATGGATGCAAGACCCTTTATCAGACATATGATTTATAAACTTTTCTCCTGGAGATTTCTTCTCAATTTCTTGATAGTATCCTTCAAAACACAAACTTTTTTAGTTTTGATGATGCCCAATTTTCCATTTATTTATTCTGACAAAAAAGAAAGAGGGTGATAGCAGAGAAGGGCAAACAAAAAAATGACAACTTTATAGTTTATACTAATAATAGAATTATTTAGCAAATTGCCTTTCACTAGACAGTCTAATTTCTGTTGGTGGATATGGGCTGAGTCACATACAAGTCATCATCTACTCCATTTAGCTGGATGGATCTAAGGGACAGAGTAATAGAGACTATCACAAAAAGCAATGAGTATTTATACCATTTAAAATGACTTATAAATTGCTTAAGCACATCTATCAAACCTAAATAGCACATTTCAAATCAGCTTCATATAAAAGCAACACTCTGCAGAATGATTTCTGAACTGTGAAAATCTGTCGTTCAAATCGAGCGTCTTAGAGCACTGACACTGAAGAGATTGCCATGTGGGAAGAGTCACCCCATTTTGTCCAGAAGCTTGTATTTGATTCATATGGGTACGTTCCAGGGAACATAGGATCCTGGTTCATCTCTTGGAATCTAGAAGAAAAGAACAGATTTGGATGTTCATTACTTGGAAAATGTTTGTGACTTGGGTGAGAAACAGTAGGACATGAAGTAGACTAAAAACCACAGAGGGCAACGAGGATCCTGAGAGGTCAGGGAACAACCACTGGTGACATGGAGGAATGCAGGAGAGGACAGGCGGCTGCAGGGCTAGCGGCTCTCACGGGAAGGGGACCTAACACGAAGTGGAGGCAGAGTTGATGCTTCCCACAGCATAGAAGGCTTAGGGGAAACCAACCGTAAGCAGCCAGCATGAGGGGAGTGTGGGAGGGGCTTTCCTTTCCATGGAAGGAACACCTTTCTAGAGTCAGGGAATAACTGTGGGTGGCTTGACTTCCTTCCATGGTTAAACATCTGGTCACTGACACCCAGGGAGGCCTGAGAAGTCTGCTCGGGAGGGGAGCTGTTGCCGGCCCAGGGTCAGGCTGGAGGCAGACTGTTGGAGGGGCTTGTATTCTTGGTCTGCGTGTCCTAGGTTCAGGGCAGAGTTTCTGTGCTTCCTTCTGGACTAAGATGTCCTCGGAAAGGAATGAAACAAGTGAGGAATATACAACTAATGGACCTACTGAACCTTCTTCTGTCAAGTGGTAGACAACTGAGCCCCTGCAGGCCAAGCAGTGCCGGGTGATGTAAAAACACAACCCATGGGCTCAAGTTCAAGGCCACTTTGCTCTTCTCTTGCTCAAATGCTTTCTGGATTCCTGTCACCTTTTCTTTCACATAAGACAACAGCAGAGGGTTAATGAAATTTTATAAGGACAGAAGACAAAAATTCAGAAGTTTGTAACTGTTTTTCCTACTAGGTAGAATGTACCATTTTTGTGAACCTGTCTTCGCAGGCCATCCTAATCTTCTCTGGGGTCAGTGGACTACTGAGCCTCAGTGGCCCAGATAGACCTCTCTCCTGCCGAGCTGCGCTCACTGCATCCTGGAGAGCGAAAAACACGGAGCAGCCCAGGAACACTCCAGACTCCCCTAGACCCTTGAAGGAAAAACAAGCAACCAGATCGTGAGTCGCTTTCTCTCACTATATGTATATGGGATATATATAGCATATGGGCATACAAAGCATTATATACCATGCAAATTGTTTAAAAAGTAATTTCACCTTTGACCCAATATTCCTGTTCTTAGAAATCTAGCCCAAGGAAAGAATCCCCAATGGAGAAAATCTCATATAAGCATAAAGATGATTATTGCAATATGAAAAATCAGATATAACCAGACGGCAGCAGTAATTCATGTTAGTCTCCAAGGTCTGGAATATTCAACATTTTTTATCACATTGTTAAATTCTTTCATAATTAAAATTTTTAATAAGGATTTTTCTTCTGCTGTGCTGGTAAAAATCCCAACCAAGAGATGACCGTAGCCCTCCTGCTGCCCCGCCTCCTGTTATAAATGTGCATTTATTCACAGAGGTTAGTTTACCTTAGATGAATACAGGTTGTTTGAGTTTTGAGACGGAGGCAACAAAGAAATGTGAAATTCTGTGGGGACGTCACAGATGGCAGGAATTTTATACTGGTTTGGACCACGAGTGTACAGAATGCCATGAGGAGAATAATCCAGTTCCTCTAGCGTATAAAGGCCCATGCCTTGAATAAATGCACCTTCAATCTGAGACAAAAAAAAAAAAAAAAGTAGAATATCCATGTGTGAGAAATTACAATTAACGCTAAGTAGCATTTAAACTTAATGCTTTTTACTTGAATTTTAAAATTATGGTTTAGGAGTGTTTTCAGGCCATCTTGGAGCACATATGCAAAAGTTTACCAAAAGCATTTCTAAATATCTCAAGCAGCACGAAATTCAAAGTCCAGTGACTTGGGTCAAGAGCTGGCTGGCCTCCTGTCTCTGGACTCTGATGCATCAGTATTCCAAAAACTCCAGGCCACTCCCCAGCCCAGTCACCTCCACCCACTAAGTCTAGTCCTGTCTCTGAAGAGCCTCCTCCCACCTCCCCCACCCCCCACCCCCGGGCCCTCTCCTCCCACACCATTGTCAAAGGCCCTCGCCATTGTTACCAGTGCTGGCCTTGTCCAGGTAGTGAACAGGTGTGTTGAATTTCATATCCTTCCTTTGGCTGATTTCCTTCACTTGCCTTCCACCCAGGACGTTGTTTCCTCCATAACTTGGCCCACACCCACTCCCCCCACCCCCCCCCGCAACCCCCAAGTCTCCACTGACTTCTCAACTCAACCTCCAGATTCTTCCCAGTCTCAGAGGACAATTTCATGACTGGAGGAGACATTAGATTATGCTCTAAGTTGGAGGCAGTGAGCTGAGCTGTCCACAGATGTGGGGCAAGTAAGCCGTCTATAAAGATTCCAGGTGGGTTCTGTGTCACTGAGGAGTGTGTGACTCTCTCCAGGTACAGCTAACTGACTTAGGCCTTATAGAGGTGCAGGTCCACAACTGGCAAATAGTCAAATAGTCTATCTTCAAGAGAAGCCAGATATTTGTGATTTTCCAGTTTTGCTAATTATTTTAAATTTAAATTAAAAAACTTCTATGGGCAACATTTAGCCCACAGGCCTCCTATCTATAGCTATTGCTCAAATTATTTGAGGTTTATTATTCCAACACAATCTGAAGTTCCTTCAAGCTGAAGCCCATATTAGGGCCAAGACTCAGCCCTTGGCACTAAATCTACTCAGACTTCAGAGGTTTGGGGCTCCTCAGTCACTTCTAGGCCTGGTCTTGCCTCATTCACGCTTCCAATCACAGACTATAAGTTTCTTCAAAAACTACTTAAAAATATTTTATTTTATTTTTTGAGACAGAGCCTCAAGCTGTCACCCTGGGTAGAGTACCATGGCATCACAGCTCACAGCAACCTCCAACTTCTGGGCTTAGGTGATTCTCCTGCCTCTGCCTCCCAAATAACTGGGACTACAGTCACCCGCCACAACGCCTGGCTATTTTTTGGTTGTAGCCGTCATTGTTGTTTGGCGGGTCCAGGCTGGATTTGAACCCACCAGCTCAGATGTACGAGGCTGGTGCCTTAGCTGCTTGAGCCACAGGCGCCGAGCTGCCTTCTCCTTGTTAAATTGTAAGAAATTTGAGTTCTGCAGCTGGCTTGAATAGAAGGAGCTTGACTCTTCAGGGGCAGAAATCTAAGCTGATGACTAAGCCTGACGGAATGTTCCCCCGGAATGTTCCCCCGCAGACCCCCCATCAGTTCTGGCTTTTACAAACAGGAAAGCACAGCACAGGGGTCACACATACCTGGCCTATGTCCAGGGCTGGGTTTATACTGCGGCCAATATCCATGACAATGTCTGTTCTGAGGTTCTAGTCATTAAAAAAAGTTAGAATGTTTACTTTAGTGAAGATAACTGAAAGCTGAGAAACATTTCCTGTCAGGCTGGCTTTCGGATAAAGGCTTTCTTTGGGCCATGTTATTTCAGGAGAAGCAGCAACAAAGGTCTTATTATGTGACAAAGATTATTATGTACAACTTTCAAAGTTATACAAATATTCTTAAACAGCTTAAGCACTGGTTTTCTCCTCCCTTTGGAAACAATAGGATAAAAATATTTACTTGATTTTGATTCAAGCAGGTGATGCAACAGATTGGGTTGAATTCACTACATTATATAACACAGCAAAAAATAATGTCGAGGGCCCTTATCATCCTTGTTGCAAAACTTTGTGGCTAGAACACAACCCAACATCGAGGGTGTATCGGGCTGAGTGATGTTTACTGAACCATAGAGTTCAGGGTACATCAACAAAAATGTCTTTAAATGGTTTTGGAGCAGAGGAGAGAATAAATCTGGCACTCTGACTTGCTGTCTGAGTTGTGTGTGTGTGTGTGTGTGTGTGTGCATCTCTTCACAGCATTCCTTAAAAGTATAAGGATGCTCTTAAATGAACTAAAAAGCAAGACCAAACTGAGTATGGTCAGAGAGATGTCAAAAACTGGCCACTGCCTCTCTGGGCTGCCTCTCAGGGCTTATTAGCAGATGCCTATGAAATTCTTGTAGCAGATGCCTATGAAATTCTTTAAGAATGTCACTTCTCAAAAGAGGTCAGCCTTGCTAGTTGTGCCAACAGTCTACATGGAGGTCCCTTCTAGATTATGGTTCTTTCTTGAAGTAGTTTCTTTTCTGATTCCTTTTAAAAAGGGCCAGGTAAATAAAGAAGAGAGGGCCGCCAGTTGTTTTCCATTGGGAGCACCCATCCACCCAGACAACTGCAGAGCACTTTCTCCTGTTCATCCAGAGAAATCACCCGTAGGCCAAATACATGGTGTTGTCACCTACCCACCTCTCCAGAGAGGGACACATCTGTGGAATTTAGGTGTATCTTAAGTACAACGTGAAGACCTTTCCAATTGGAACCAACCTTATGATCCCCTGTCAGGCAGTCTATTTCAACCTCAGAACAGGCAGCGCCATAAACAAAGTATTCGAAGGGATGACCTTCACCTTTCTCCCAATTCATGTCGGCCTCGTAACCCCTGGAGGAAACAGGGTGCTTAAAGAGCGTTGTTAAGTGATCAAGTCCCCTTGTCACAGACTATGGTGATTGAATAAACCCATGTGAGTTGTGCAAACCGGAAGACTCTACTTGTACTATGATATGCCAGCACAGAGTACGTGATCAATAAGCCTGTTGAATAAATATTTAGTTCTTTCCTATTTAACTTGCTCTGTTTAATCCAATTAATCCATTGATTGGGATCAATGATTCCTTACTTTTGGAGCTTCCAAATTCATGATCAACTGTCTTATTACTTTTGGCCGATGGTGGGTCATCAGATTTGGGGGATTCAAGCTGCATCACCAAACACTGTTTCATAGATGCACACTGCCTGCTTTGTCTACTGTTCTAGCCCAGAAATCAACCTTCTGTGTGCAGGGTCAGGTCCCTGGCTCTCATCTTTGCTGTTACTCTGGTCTCTCAGTGCCGGCTCCATGGCTGTTCCCAGCTCTTCTTTCAGGACATCATCTACATGTCAGTGGTAAAAGAGGAGCAGCTTGCAGGACTCTACCCTTGCTCCTCTGCTCCCCCAGCCCCTGCCTGGGGTGGGCCATTAAGAACCCCTCCAGGGCCTGTTCCTGGGAACCAGACTGTGCCCAGGACGCCTGGGACAACAGGCAAAGTGATTCCCCATCACCTTGCTCTCTGGTGGCTTTCATTCTCTGGTAAAATACTTTAATAAGTTTTCCAAGGTAAGGAGTTCCTACTGTTTCACATCTTGATGTCACGTGGTTATTGTCAACTTTTTTTTTTGCCAATCCTGAAGGTGTAAAATGGTACCTACCCTATGGGTTTACTTTGCACCCCCCTCCTTTGTTTCTTAAGAGATAGATTGTGTTTTCAACGAAAAGTCAACCACAGCTGTAGATTCAAAGTATTAACCCAGAGAACCTCATAATACCACCCAGTAGGATCTGAATCATCAGCTCAGTTGAATTTTATTTGTGTGCCTATTTTTCCTAGCAAAAGTCTTTCTGGACATTTGGATTAACTAGCAGCTAATATTAAATACAATATTTATCACGATGGCTACATAGTAGGTACACAGAAGGTCAATTTTTGCCAAAATGGCAAGCAAAACTCAAACTCCTCCTCAAGGCACCACTGTTATTTTCCACAGCATGGGACTGAAAGGACAATTTACCTGAAGTAGCCAATAGCCGAGAGACTAATGCTTTCCTCAAAGGCAGTCTCCGCCTGTGGAGGAAGAGCAGAGAACGATGCACCACGGATGTCAAAGAAAGATTCATTCAAAACGCCGATCTTAATTTTGCTGCATGTTACATAAAGCTATCAGCAGTAATAACTGGGAAGGACTGAGATTAATTGATTCCTTTCAGCATTCTCCATCTCCACAGGCATTTGTGGTTCACTGCTTGTAGCAACAGCATTTGTTCAAGCATAGGATGGCAATAAATGCCAGTGGGATACGTTATACTATAGACTAGACTGAAGCTACCAACTTCAGTTCTTCACTCAGTCACTGGAAAGAATCTGCCTGTTAGCATGAGACACTGTCGAACACAACAATTGGTTAGATGTTTAACTTTACTATCAGGTATCCATAATAATCAGCTGAAGGGAATAATTTTGCTGAATTGCACCATTTACAACAAAAGCTCTCCTGACTCCTTAGTGCACACAGTGGACTACTAGATGGAAAAATGGGGATTAGGTCCAAGTCCCCAAGCCTAAGAAGGAAGGTAAGCTAGGCAGCCATTGCAGAAGAAAGAGGGCTGGACAGCAGCATTTCCTGATGTTGGAGGGCGGACTCCCTGTGCTGCCTCTCTCTCTGGCTGTCCCCCAGCAAACGGACCCTGCCTTTGGGCTCAGGCAGCACAGGGTGAAGGGCAGAAACAAATAGGTCCAGAAAGGGCTGAGAGCTCCCACAAATATGTGTTATGAAATGAGTCCTTACTCTACAGAGCAGCAAGAACCATTTCTAAGTGGGATTCCCCAAATATTATTTCCCCCAGGTCTGTGCTTTTAATGTTGCTAAAAGTGATATTCTAGAATAATCAGCATGTTACACATGCCCAGATTTTATGGATATTCACTTCACATCATCTGGTATGTTATACCCTATTACTTGGAAAGTTTGTTAGTTGACTTTACATTGTTTCTTCCTTTCTAACTAGATTGCCAGTGGATGAAAGGAAACAGTTAAAGATTTCCATTCCTTTGAGTGTCTAAGACTGGATGGCTTGGTTTCCTATTTCTTAAGGGGTTCTAACATAATTTTTTACTTTTATAAAACGATGTTAATATTGCTTTTCTATTTTAGGAACAGTGGAACCCAAAAAAGGAGAACCAGCAGACTTATAGCTCTTATCCAGAGGACACTTAGATTCCATTGCATAGGAAGAAATGTTAAGTAATTCTAGCCTAAAAAGGGGGGGACAGGGCTCTGGCAGAAGAACCATCTTTTTCTCTACTAGAAAATTTTCCCAGATGCAAGAGTTCGTCCATCACATGGTACCAGGATTTTACACGTGTCAAGAGCCAGAGGGCCTCTGACTTATCATTGTGCAATGGTGGTAACTTTTAAGGTCCCCCTTCTGCAGCTATTTAATTTACACATACTTCTCTCACTTTCCCCTTCCCCATTTTCTTCTTAGCATAAAACATAGAGAACCAGTGAGTCTCACCCAATCCTTCCAAGTTCCTCGAGGATTCTTGCTGATGATGGGTTCAAGGCGTTTTAGAAGAGTTTGACAAGCATCCTAGGGATTATTTTTTAATTAAAATTATGAACATAATTTCATGCAAATGCCAATTTTGAAATAAGATGATATGTGTTATTCCATAGGCTTATCTAAGAGAGAACATGGATAAGAGACCGATCCTGTAAGAAAGTGATGAAAGGTTTCACATGTGGGTGTGTGTGTACTGTCAGAGACAGAGGGAGACAGAGAGAGAGAGAGAGAACTGGCCTCGTAAGTCATGCTAAGAAGTCATGACTTAACAGAAAAATTATTGGCACCACTGGCCACTGTTTTCAAAGCATGATCAGATTTAGCTAGAAAGTTCGCTCTGGAAGGGTAAGGCCAGAGTGAAAGGTAAAGCACCCGGGGTGGATAGACAGAAGCCTTGCAATGGCCCTGGTGAGAGGTGGGAATCTGGCTCCCAGTGATATTAACATAATATAAAAGGGGAAAGACACAGAGACATATTTGTGTAAAGCTGAAAGGACTTGCTGACCAGTGAGAAGTCAGGAGTGAAGGAGAAATAGAGGCAGCATTTCCAGCACAGGAGAGCTGCAGGGTACTGCCCCTGTGGCTGGGCCTGAGACGGGGGGAAAGCAATAAGGGACCACCGGTTAACTCTCAACATCTGAGCTCCACCCATGTTCATGGCCCTGATGGGGACTGATAGTTGACACCACTGCAGTGATTATTACCTTTATTGCCAACCCGTTGAAATCTGCCACCACAGACCCTCCGGAGCAGTTTGCGTTAGGCACAGTTTCTGTGCTTGTCCCACGCAGATGGATATTCGACATTGGCATTCTTAATTCACGGCTGACCACCTGGATTTTAGGAGAGTTTCTTTTCATATACTGTGATCAGTTGTAGAACTGTGCACATGCCCAGGCTGTAGCAATCAAGCCCATATATGCCCAACACAGACAAGGGAGCAGGACCACAGATTCCTCCAGGCACAAACTGGAGGAAAGCCCTGTAACTAATCTGGACTTCAAGTCTTTAACACTTTCTTTTTCTTTGACTTTCTCATATGCAATAGCATCCGAAAGAGGCGGGAAGACCTCTTCTGATGCTTCATTTGCATCTTCACATCATGAAATCAACACCTTCAAGGCCTCTCCTACTACCACACTCTGCAAAATTCTAACAAAGACAATTTTATCAGTGATAAGTGATGTCTATTTCCTATCCATATTCCTAGAGCTGCTCCAGAAATACAGCACTTCTCATGGGAAAGGACAATGGCTTTGGAAAAACAGCAACATGAATACATGGGTCACAAAAGGAGGAGATGGTGCCAGGGCCATGTGCCAACCCAAAGACTTAGCTGTTGCTTTATTCTTCCTTTACTTTTAGTCCTGGAGAGCATGACCATATTGCTAGCTTTAGCTCATCCAAAATTCCACTTTCCAACCTTCAGAATGGGAAAAGATATTTTCATGTTATGAATCTGACAAAGGGTTGATAACTAGAATCTATAGAGAACTCAAATTAATTAACAACAACAACAAAAAGCAAACAATCCCATCATTGGGCAAGAGACATGAACAGAATCTTCTCTGAAAAAGACAGGCGAAAGGCCAACTAACCAATGAAAAAATGCTCATCATCCCTAATCATCAGAGAAATGTCAATCTCTGAGATATCATCTAACTCCAATGAGAATAGCCCAAAGCTACAGATTCTGGAATGGACGGGGTAAGAAGGGAATACTTTTACACTATTGGTGAGATTGTAAACTAATACAGCCTCTTTGAAAAGAAGTGTGGAGAATCCTCAAAGAACTCAAAATAGACCTTCCATTTGATCCCAATCCCACAATCCCAATACTAGGCATCTACCCAGAAGAAAAAAAATCATTTTGTCATAAGGACATTTGCACTAGATTGTTTATTGCAGCTCAATTTACAATTGCCAAGTTGTGGAAACAACCCAAGTGCCCGTCAACCCATGAATGGATTAATAAATTGTGGAATATGTATACCATGGAATATTATTCAGCCACTAAAAAAGATGGAGACTTTACATCTTTTATATTAACTTGTAAGGAGTTGAAGAACATTTTCCTTGGTAAAGTATCACAAGAATGGAAAAGCAAGTATTTAATACTAATATGAATTCAATGTATTCAATACTAATAGGAAGCCAGTAGACAAATGAATACATGCACACATAAGAGAAAAACTAAATTCAATTCAAGTTGGAGGAAGAGGGCAGGAGAGAGGGGAGGAGGAAGGGGTACCAGTGTGCTCCCACTTAATGGACACAATGTAAGGGTATATGGCACACCTCCTGAGTATGGGACACAACTACAACAGGGACCTTACCTAATAAATGCAAACATTATAACTTAATCATTTGTACCCCCATATTAATCTGAAATTTAAAAAAAAACCAAAAATTCTCCACTTTCCCATTAGCAACATGGCTTATAGTGTTTGTCCACAACGTCTGTAAGGACATAGCCATACAGAGCCCTTCCACAATGCTTGGCTCTTGGATAGTCTACACGGAGTGTGCAGACTTAGAACATAAAGGTCTCTGGTGGCCCAATAAAGAAAACACTGAAATCTCACTCTCCAACTGGGGGAAGGTATGATCAGATAGTTCTCAAATTAACATGAAAAAAAGCATACATTCAAATATCTATGCTCAGAAAAAAGAAAATTAAAGTAACAATGAGATTATTTCATTCACCTATCAAATGACCTAAATGTTTTCAACAATCCATGTTGGTTAGGGGTATAATGAATGGAGACTTTCTGAAAAACAGTCAGATGATGTGTGATAAATAATTTTAAATAATCATACCCTTGACCCAGTAATTCCACTTCTGGGAATCTATTTTAAGGAAATGATCCCTGATATGATCACAGGTTAATGTACAAAAATATTCACTAAAGCATTCAACAGTTGGGGGATGGTTAAATAAATCACACATACATCCACTTGTAGCCATTAAAATAGCGATTGTAAAGAATTCTGAAAGACGAGAGGAAGTGCTCATTCTATACAAGCATTGATAGAAAAAAAGCCAGGATATAAAATCATATAAAATCATGTTAACAATTTTTTGAAAAAGAAAAAAGACAAGATGGAAAGACCCCAAATGGTGCTTCTTCTAAGTGGTGGATTTGTGTTGGGTCTTTTTTTTAAAAAAAGCTTTCTTCATCTTCCAAATGTTTTATAATCCATAACATTACTCTTATGATTATATAAACAGTAGCTTAAAATTAACTAAAATAAGTGAGCCAAAAGAAAACTGGTAAAGTTTGGCTAGAACTACCAAATGGAATTTATGTCATCAATCATTCAGAGCCCTTAATCTAAAAAGGGCAAGAAATAATGCAACACATCAGAATTCACACATCATTTTATTGCCCAACGAAGATTCAAAAAGGACAACACAATTGTTAATATATCTAAAAGACAGCATCAATAACAATACAAGCTTCCTTAGCGATAAAATAACTAGAGATTCTTTTGACACATTCTTTCAGGAGGTTCAGTTACAAAATTGGCTTGTTTACCCAGTTTCTGCTAATTCACATAGCTTAACAGCTTAAGCTGTCAAAGCTAAAGCTTCCTATCCTTTATGGTGGAACAGAAAACCTACACTGATAGTTTCTTTTTTTCATGAACATATCTACAAGCATACCACCCAACTTAATCCAGTTATCTGCATTCTTACCTGGATCATTTTAGTGTGCACACCCTGCCCCATTTCAATGCCACCATGAGTGACCAGCACAGAACCATCTAAGTAAATGTGAACCAGAGCAGCAGCCTAAGAAGAAAAGAAGAATACATTATCCATGAGCTTTTTTACTGATATTATCATATATTGTTTTCCTTGGAAATGACCCCTCCTTTCCATTCCTCCAGCTCTTGCCCTAAACACACAGAGAGGCTTTTCCTATTGCCCTAAAAGCACCAAGCAGAGCCAGGGCAATGCTGGGTAGGCACTGCCTTGTGGCCACCCCATGAGTGGCCGTGTCATACGTAGGTGGTTTTGAGTCTGTGGCAGACTGTGCTCCTTAAGCTACTATTTCCTAATTAGGACATTATGAGCCCACTGGTACCTCCAAAAGGCCCCCTTTCCATGCCCCAGTGTGGAGCAACATTTTAGGTTTCTTTTTAGGGGAGCGCTCCATTTTAAAATGCAAAGTTAAGTACAGACAGGTTGAGGGAGGGGGAGAATAGCTGCTTGTGGGCACACAATGCTGTAGCTGTAGCTGTGTTGCAGAGGAGTGAAAGGAAAATCCAAGTGAGATGGGATGGATAGACGTGAATGTGTTTTGTTGCTGCAAAATGAGCTGAGCCCACCCTAAATTATCTTGGCACAGAATTACAGAGCTTTGGGATGGAAAGGGAATTTGGAAGTAATCTTATCTAACTGTATAGCTCCCTACCAGGATCTGGAAGGAACCAGCCTGCCAACAGCATGAAAAGCTCCTGTAATCAGAAACATCCAGACCCAAAGCTAAACACATTTTTATGATTACAAGAATGTGACTTTTTGCAAGTCTGCCTGTGCTAAAGTATGGAGATATCCCAGGGGACTGCAGAACACAAGGATGGTTTCTCTACTTTGAGTCTCCATTCTAAGAGCAAAATAACAGCACATCAATTTAGAGAAATGGTTCTGTGTGGTTCCAGTGCGGTCCAGGAAGGCACACAATGCAACCTTTGCAGTTCTTTAGCTGGGAAGTGCCAACCTCATGGATGTGGTCTGAGTCAGCCATGGGGCACTTAAAGCTCTGTAAGCTAGGTTTCTTAACATATAAGTTTCTAGGCACAGTGGCATAATAATATTTGATTTATAAAAGCAGGATCTGCAGAAAATTCTGGTGGCAAGCACTTTTCCATTTAAAGAACCTAAATTTTAGTAAGCCTTAACATTACCCACTTAGATTACTTGTAAGCAATCCTGGTCATAAGTAAAAGCGGATGGAATTGCATGTCAATCACCAGATAAACCCAAGTAAGCTCTGTATTCATAGATCAATTCTCTGCGCACAGGAAGGAACTTCCTAGCCACCTGTAGGCCGTGGGCCACACTTAGAAAAAAACTGCATCTTTGTGGGTATCCAGAGGTTCATTACCCCAGCGAATGATAACCAGAAGCCTCCATCACTCCAAACAAGACAGCTTGGACAGTGAAAATGGGCTCCATTCACTTGGGCAGCAGGTATAAAGTAGCATGTACTGAGGAAACAGAGACCTCAGGGTGCCCTTCCTCTGAGGAGAAAGACACAGCCTCAGGGAGACTCTTAGAATCTTGAGGAAGGCACAGAAGTCATGACACTCGTGCCCAGGGCCTTGGGAAGAGGCAGCGGAACACGTTTACTGTCTGTTGACACACGACTCAGAGAAATGCAGTCTTGGGCTCCTGACCATTTATTCTCAAAATAGTACAGATAAGAGGCATCTTTTCTCTACACAGTGCCCAGAGCTGACTGTCCTGGGGCTGTGCATCAGATGCCAGATGATGCCAGCTGCAACAGTCGCTCCTGGGCCCCACACTATGGCACTTCTTTGAATTCTGCTAGAATGTGGGTCCCCTGAAACACACAGGGCATTTCTCGGAATACGACATAGTGTGTCCCCTATGGTAAGTGCTCAGTAAATGTTTGATAAGCAAATTTGCAATAGCACAGCCTTTCCACCTGCTGCTTAGACTTAAAGACTCTGTATCTGGCGTCTTGGCTCTGCAGAGAGCGGGGGTAATTCATAGTTGGACTTGGCGCATGTGACTGAGCTACAATTATAGCGGATTGTACATTTCCTATATTGTGTGACCCTGCTGGCGACAGCACTCAGCCTGCATGTCTAAGGCAGCATTTCCATCACAGACTGCTGAGTAATTTGTTCTATGCGATGCTGCAGTCTCCTTAGGCCATTTAAAATGTCAAATTCACTTTAGTTAAGTGGCACCACCGGATGGCTCATTGTTAGAACCACAAAAGATAATTCAGCAAGGCTTCATCTACAAAATCGGCACAACTGGAGTGTTGGAGCAGATGGTTCTCCAAGATGAATAGAGGACTAAGTTGGGAAAATTTCAATCTTCAAGCAACAATTATTGGTATTGGTAAGAAGTCAGTTTTAATCGCACAGATTCCCTAAATGTCTCAGCCATTTAGACATTTGAGTTCCTACTTTGTGCCATGTCCTGTGGGAAGGCACTGCATACATAGAGGCTAAGTAGGTACTGTCCATGCCTAGTGGGGTTCACAGTGTAGGAATTAAGCACGGCATTCCTTGAAGATACCGAAAGTTTGGATCTGGGCCCAGAGTGAATTGACTCAACTGCTTGTTGCCAAGGCCAAGAGTAAATCTCAGGTCTTTCAATTTCTCAGCAAGAATGTTTTTCACCAGCTGTGGGGATGCGGGTGGAGGAGTTCTTCTCTCCCCCAGAATACTGCTGGCTTGATTAAGCATGACTTTGACAAGTGCAGCAGTGGGACACTGCATCCATGTGGCTACCCTGACTTAGGGAAAAGTTCCTCAACATCTTTTGTTTTGTTTGGACCACTCTCTGGAGTGTTCCCTCTTGTGTATGGAGAACTGACCTGACCAGCAGCGACTGAGCAGATGCCAACAGGATACTTCAGGGGGACAATGGCCAACCCTTTCTTCTTCCAGTGATTCTCTGAGTTGAATTTTTCCACAGCTGCTTTCCTCTGAGAGTAGGAGGACATGGCCAGACATTCTCCCCAGCACTGGACCAGGTTCTTGGCATTAATCTCTTGCTTGTAGGCTGTTTGATCAATTTCCTTGTACATGTTTATCATTCGTACCTAGGAAGGAAAGGAGATTAAAGTGGGGTGTGGGAGCCCCAGAGACATAACTTTGTTCATTCACTGTCCTGTTGGTGAAATTCTGCCCATTCTACAAGGTCCACACTGAGTCCTACTTAGTCCTTGGGGAAGCCTTTACCCCCACAGAGCACCCCCTTCTCCCTTCACTTAGAGCCTCCATCCAGTATGTTAGCACTTACTTAAATGCTGTCTATACTGTTGTTGTGCAAATTCAAAGGAGGGACCTCTTCCCCTATATTCCTACAGGACCCACCACAGTCCAGGATCATCCAAGCCACATGACTTGGATTATTCTAATGCTGCAACATAAGACCACTCACCTCCAAAACAGTTAAGCATGAAAGTTTGTTTAAACATAACCAATATCTAGGATGAAGAGCAAATTAAAGAATTCTATCCCAGGACATCTGAAGCACTGAGTAGAATTCTTCTTTCTATATTCCCAGAATTGGCAGTTAAGACCTTAAGCTGAGAACAAAAGAACCAAAGTCCCTTACATTCTCAGGTGAGAAAACTCTCAGCAGCTGTGGCCAGCAGCCCCCTCCCTGAGCTGATCTGAGCTAATGGGGCCATTACAGACACTTAGTCTCTCCACCTCCCCAAAAAGGTTCTCCAATCATTATGTAAGAGGAAGACTGGAAATAAGTGAGCTGTATTGTTTTGGGGAAAGCAGTGATTTTAAGAGGTTATTCTCTCCTCCAAAATCCCCAGGGATAAAGGGAGGTCTTCACATGATTCTCCCTGTGGCTACCAAATGTGGCAGAACATGAGGGGAGAGGCTATAGAAAAAGGGCCAGGAAGGGAGGGCAAGGACCCCCCACAAGTTCAAGAGGCATAAGAAAGATGGCTCCTGCCTATGGCCATAGAAGTCTAATGTTGGGGGAAAGAAGGCAGATGAATAGGGACTGGAGCCTTCCAGGGATGGCCAGGGCATGAGCAAAAAGGCATGGACACCAGGGGGAATGCTATGGGAGGTACCCACTGAAGGTCAACAGGAGAGTTAGCTGACTCTCACCAGGGTCTCCAATTTCTGGAAAGGCTGGCAGAAATGACCCACAGATAACAGACTTGAGAAGTGGCTACATGGAACTGAAGAGAGGACTGTAAGCTCCCTGGGAGAAGTCACATGAGAAGAGGCTGCCTGCTTCCCCTGGTCCTCCTCCTCCTTCCTCCTTGTACTAACATCACAGTAGGAGGCCCAGGGGAGGAGCAGAGGTGAGAGAGGGCTCTTCATCTCTCCCCATCTAAACTCCACCACCGGATCTGGAGTGCAAGAGGCCCCAGGGAGGGAAAGGTCCTTGTTAATGAAATAAGTTGGAGCTGAGACTTAAAAAGCTGAAAGAAAACCATTTGAGTAACTAAAATGAGGAACTTTTGACAGCTTGCCGAGATGTTAGGGAGGCAAGGAATGAGGGCTTGGTGGAGTTGTTGATAGCAGTTACACCCTCAATGGACAAAAGCTTCTCAATAACAGGTGAGAACCCAGCGCTCAATGCCTCTATATCCTCTGTTCCCAAGATTTCTGACAAGGAACCTGAGTAAGACAAGGTCACTGAACTTTGGAGCCTTGGCTCTATATTAACTAGTTGGCTGGGTTATCTGGGGCACATCATTTACCCCTCTGGATCTTAAACTACAGTCTCTTGTGTGTGAGACTAACTTAGTATTACCTTCTCAGGGGACAAACCACATTTGGCTGCAACTTCTGTGATACAGAATTCAGTGATCAGCCCCGCCTGAGGAAAGCCAAATCCACGAAAAGCTGTGTTCGATGGAAGGTTGGTTCTGCATGCCCTACCCCGACAGCGCAGGTTGGGAAACTTGTAAGCGTTGTCCAGTTTCAGAAGTCCCATTTCTATCACCTAGAGAAATCCAGAGTGGATGTGATAAGTCCTGGGCCTGGTTCACCATCCTGAGACCTCAGACCCAATCTAGATGGGAAGTGGCAGCACCTCTTTACATCACAGCAAACATGCTAAAATACACCCACACACCAAATTTTTGTTGTAAAATAATCTGTATTTGAATAATTTTTCTTTTGAAATACTTATTTTTTTTCTTTCCTATTTTAGAGTTAATACATTTTTTTCAGATTTCAAACATTTACAAAAGCCTTGGAAATACTCATAGGCTGTAAACACTGGGTCTGTAGAATGTAATGAATATAAATATCCTGGAAAACAGAGAAGATGGGGGAAAATGTTTTGGCATTGGGAGTAAAGCTCTGGTCCTTCATAGACACAATACCTTGCCCCTGCCTCCTGGGGAAATTTGGCGTTGTCTGGAGAAGACAGTTTTGGTTGTTAAGGGCTTGGGTGGGAGGTGTCATTGACATCTGCTGAGTAGAAGCCAAAGATGCCACTGAACATCCTGCAATGGACAGGACGGCCCCCACAAGGAAGTCACACAGTCCAAGAGGTCAACAGGGCCAAAGCTGAGAAAGCCTGGCCTGATGTTAACATGTGGGAAAAGAGCTCTGAATACTTAGAGGGAGGCAGGGAAATAACCCACAGATACAGACTCAACCAAGACCTCTGGGCTCATGCTCTGGGTCCCAGCAACATGTGGCGATGCCTGCAATAAGGCTTGCTATGCTTTTATAATTAAATATTATTTAACTACTGAACATTTTCTGAGTTAAATCATTTTATGAAACACTCTTTCAGGAATGTAAATCTGCTTCTTAAAACACTTACGAGTAATGACTCATCCAGGCTGGCGCCTCCATTGTTATAATGCTCCATGTCCAGGGCCAAGATTCTGCCATCGTTCATGAATCCAACCTGGGGGAGGAGAGCTGAACTTTGCTACTGTGCCAGGGCCAAGCCTATGTACAGTTGACTCTGTCACTTGTGAACCCCCCACACAGGGGAAAAGCCTCATGACATTGGATTTGGCTGTGATTTCTTGGATGTATAACTAGCGCTGTGATTTCAGGCAAGCTAATGTAACTTCTCTCACTATCTGTGAAACGGAAATAAATATGGTAATGCGTGGAAAATGATAGGCAGTGCCTGAAACATAGCAAGTATTCTAAATGTAAATTGTAAGTATTACTATCATAAGTATCGTCTATCCTCATACTGCTCTCAGAAAACATTATTTTCTCCTAGCTTTAGTCACCACTGAGATGATGGCTTCTGTCCCTAAAACCCAGTCCTTTCCGCAAAGTCCTGTGGTAGTGAGGGGCATTTCTGCTTTAAGGTACTATCGCCACTTCTTCCCCGATGCTTATGCAAACAAGCTCATCATCATCCTTCCAGATTACTTCCTCCTTCCTACTTGTCTGTTTCTTCTAGAACACTCCAAGTCGTGTTTGTGTTTGTATTGTCTATTATATTTTGCCAAGCTTTTAAGCAGATCCTATTTTATTTCACTCTGTAATGGCTCTCGGACTCCCACCTACTCCACCTTGCCCTCCTATCAGAGGACCCAACTCCCTCATGAAAATACATCAGCTGTCCCCCGCCGGTCCACCTGCCTCCATCTTCTCCTATCTCCAGGCCATCCTATTACCCCTGCCCCAAAGCACCCATACTTAGAGAAGGCACTAGACTTATCAAGGAGCTACTCAGTCTCACTTTTTTTGTGAGAGCAAGTTTCAACTCCCCATTCTGTGACTCTAGGCCCCTCTCAATCAAGTACCACCTAAACTAAGCACCACCTAAACCTGTCTTTCACTACCCCTCCCCCCAGCAAACTCTGCTATAATCCCCCTCTCCTTTCACTCCTGCCTCTACGAGACATGCCCTGTCACTCCACTTCTATGACTCTGCTGTCACTGTTCCCACCACCTGGCAAACCTTCTTCCCGCTTACCCATCCTTGA